TGGTTCCTCTCGAGGAGCTGCTGGTGCCTCTCAAGCAGGGCCTCGTTCCTCTGGGTGAGCTCCCTGTGTTCCTTCAACTTCTCAGAGCCCTTGCGCATGAGCAGCTGCCCGCTGTCCCCCGTGGGCTGGCTCTTGTACGCCCCCCCCGCCGCCAAGGCGAGCGGCTGGATGTATCGGGTGTATCTCGGGGGAACATAGAAGGACTGGGTGAGGTAGAGGCCGGCGCCGAGGCCTGCTCCCAGCATGGTGTCTGAGAAATTAGGGGTTTTTACTTATACTCGCAGGGCCCTCATCCTAACTAATCCTCATCATCATCATCCTCATCCGCGTCCATCGGGCACGCATCCCCCGCGTACTGCCCAGTGTTCACCCTGTCGATCACAGTCTCCACACCCAGGCCGTTCACAGCGAGGCCGGGATCATGCCCCAGGGGCAGAGGGAGCCCAATGTCAAGTTGGAACAGGATGTCGCACTCAAACCTGGTGACCAGCTCATCCCGCGGATGGTCCAGCATCGATACGCGCTGGCAGATGGACTCCTTCGCCTCCTCGACGCGCCGCTTCGCGTCCCTGTACACCTGCCCGAACAGCTCGGCCGAGGCTCCGGGCAACTCGCCAGGCGGCCTCATCAGAACGGTGTACTCGTACCCCTGCTCCTCGTATCCCCTGTACAGGGGTCTCGAGACGATGAAGGGGGACAGGGCCTCGGAGACGATGGCATAGACCTTGTCCTGCATGGGGCGAACGGTCAAAAAAACAAAAAAGACGGCAGATCGTGGGGGTTGGGTTGCCTGCATGAGCGTAAAGCAGAAGAGATCCCGCTGGTAAAAATCCTCCATCATCGCCCTCTCCCCGTGCTGATAGGTGCTCTCCAGGCCGATCTCCTGGAAGGTGTGATTGCACTCCAACAGGCACTCCTTCCAGTCCTGGGACACAGGTCAAAGAAAAAAACCGTGGTCAACGGATCGCATCACATCGAAGAACCCGACCAGCCGGTATGCAACCCCCTCGTCGGCGACGTTGGCAAAGGCCTTCTCGAGGACATTCAGCTGCATCTCAGCAACGAGACAGGCGCAGCTCATGAAAGGCCTCAGGTGGTTCTCGAGCTGGTCACTGAGCTCAACTTCAAGGGCGTTCTCAATCGAGAAGTGCTGCCAACCATCTTCAGCCCCAGACACCGCTCAAAACATGAGGAGCAACCTTCATATGCCCAAGCAGCTCGTCCTTCTTCTCAAACAAGGCCTCAAAGTCGCCGGGCTCTCGGAAGCCCAATCGCCGCAGGTCTTCGATGACTTCTTCGACCCCGTGCCAGTCGCAACCCCTGATCCTCTCCAACGAGAGCCCGTTGTCACTCAACACGGTGTGCATCAATGCACCATCAACGACATCCTTCAGGCGCCTTTCGTTCATCTCGGCTAAACCAAACCCCTCACGAGGCCTCTTTATTGGTGAGATCAAAGTTTACCACAGGGGTTTTACTACACACCCTTGGCCGCGTTAACCGATAACCATATCCTGCGACAACGGGCCTTGAAGTACCCCCGTTCGCACTGTGGCCACCCCAATCTCGGGTAACTAAGTATTTTTTTTTTGAAGCGCAAGTGCACGTGCGCTTGGTGCAAAACAAAAAAAAAGAAGGGGTTGTTCCCGTTTTTTTTTCTGAGCGCCAGCACGTGCGCTTGGTGCAAAACAAAAAAAAAAGAAGGGGTTGTTCCCCGTGGTACAAAAGTCTCATGCTAGGAAACCCCATGGTGGGTACCACAACCCACCCCCCCACATTGCACCGCAGGAGGCGCATCGAACCACCCGTACCC